GGGTGTGAAAACCAACACAAAGTTTACAGTTTTCGTGGTAGATATATGTTCACCTAGACATTGGCAATGGATATTTCCAAGAACTGAGTCAGACTGGAATGTAAATTTATTTGAATCAATGTACATACATTGAACTCTGAAAAAACCCACTGGTTTCATTTGCACTGACACCCATTATACAGCTAAGTTCTGTTATGCAACAGAATACAGGAAAGCTTTCAGCTGTTTGCTCCTCTCTGGATACCAGAATCCTGGCATGGTGGGTGGGTGGATTCTGCACAGTTCAGTCATCTACATGTTAGTGATTTTAAAAGTCATACTATGTCCAGTCTCAAGGTTCCATGGAGCACCCTGGGTCTACCAAAGTGAAGATGCTAGAAGAACCTTCTCACCTTTGATCCAAACATATTTGTTCCTTATTTATCCCTTCTAGAAAGTCTTCTAGTTAAAAAAAAAAAAGAACCCTATAGGTGAAAATAGTTGGAGAAACATGAGTCAATTCCTGAAGGGATTATTCCTCTCTCCCTCTCTCCCTTCCTTCTTTCTTTCCTTTTTTTTTTTTTGAGTCAAAGTCTCACTCTATAATCCAGTCTGGAAAACAGAGACAGAGTGTCATGATCAAGGCCACTGCAGCCTTGACCTGCTGTGTTTAGGCAAGCCTTCTGCCTCAGCCTCCTGAGTAACTGGAACTACAGGTGTGCACCACCATGCCTGTCTAATTTTTAAATTTTACTCTAGAGAGTTCTTGTCAAGTTGCCCAGGCTGGTCTCCAACCCCTGGGCTCAGGCAGTCCTCTTGCTTCCAATTCCCAAAGTGTTGGGATTACAGGCATGAGCCATTGCATCCAGCAGGGCTTCTTTAGTTCTTTAACGCAAGGGTATATGATTGACTAGACCTGTACACTGGAGCAGTAATCCTGATGTAAAAAATGGATGCAATGTGTTGGCTTTCGATAGAGTGTGAAAAATCGTGCTGCTTACATTATCTAAATCAGTTCACTTAATTCATCATAGCAAAATCTATGAGTTTCAGAGGTGAATGACTCACTTCAGTTAACAAGCTGTTAGATGGTACAGGGAAGCCTGAAACCAGGGCTCTAACTCTAAAGCTCCCGTTCCACACTCTGGTCTACAGCAGATGTCTGCTTCTTCTTTCAGGGTCATCACCCTCTTAGCCTAACTTAATGCAGCTATGCAGGGTGTCATCTTCAGAATGGAGACCTTACTGGTTGAATTCTATGGAAGGTTTTGCTTTCTCCTAGCAAGATCTGTGGTGTGCTGTCTAGAGCTAAGTGGTCACACAGCTCTCCCTCTTGTCACTTGAACTTTACTGCGCTCATTTCCTTTTTTGGTTTCATTCTCTTTACTAGGAGGTGTCGAAGGCTCTTCAGGTGGAAAAACTCACTTTCTGCTTGAAGTCAGAATCACATCTACCGTTACACAGAAACATGTGTTGTATTTTGAGTAATATGAATCAGTTCCCTGAGAGGCAGCATCTTGTGAACATGGTTTCACGGCCATTTTTCTGTAGATTACTTTGTATTTGTACTAAGACAAGTCACCATGTCTCTTGCACTAAGGTCAGATCTATTACTAGTAAGTATATTTTTTGTTGGTACATAGTACATGTGTGAAATATGAAATGAGTTTTCTCAGAGCCTCATGTTCTGTGATGACATTAAAAATGTCCTTGAGAAATACAATTTCTTAGATGTGACTCAGAGTAGCTTACCACTGAATATCTGATTTCAAGCACCCACAGAAGTATAGAACGCATTGAATTATAGGACTGGACTCTTGAGAGCCTTGGAAGTGCAGGATTGGAGAGTCTAGAGCTCATGTAGTGTAACCTTCCTCATATTACACTTCAATTCGTGCTGCCACACTCTTAATAAACACAGGCATACGTTGGAGACATTTCAGTTTTGGTTCTAGACCACCACAATAAAGAAAACAGCACAAGCTGGGTGTGGTGGCACATGTTTGTAGTCCCAGCTACTTGAAAGGCTGAGGCGGAAGGATCACCTGAGCCCAGAAGGTCAAGGCTGCAGTGAGTTGTGATTGTGCCATGGGACTCTAGCCTGGGTGAAACAGTGAGACCCTGAAAATAGCACAATAAAGTGGGTCACATACATTTTTTGGTTTCCCAGGGCCATCTATTAAGTGTGCAGTATCACTATGTCCTTAAAAAAAGTGTACATCTTAATAAAAAAATGCTTTATTGCTAAAAAATGCTAGCAATCATCTGAGGCTTTTGTGAGGGTTTTGCCTCAACATGGATGGCTGCTAACTGATCAGGGTGGTGGTTACTGCACATTGGGGTGGCTGTGACAATTTCTTAAAATAAGGCAACAATGAAGTTGGCTACATTGTTGACTCTTCCTTTTACCAGAGACTTCTCTGTAGCATGCAATGCTGTTTGATAGCATCTTACCCACAGTAGAACTTCTTTCAAAATTGGAGTCAATCTTCTCAAATCAACTTGAGTTGCTTTATCAACTCAGTTTATGGAATATTCTAAATCCGTGTTGTCATTTCAACAACATTCACAGCATCTTTACCAGGAGTAGTTTCTATCTCAAAATGCCACCTTCTTTGCTCTTCCATAAGAAGCTACTTTTCATCCATTACAGTTTGATCACAAGATTGAAGCAATTCAGTCTCATCTCCAGGCTCTGCTTCTAACTTCTAACTCCAGTTCTCTTGCTATTTCCACTGCATCTGCAATTTCTTATTTGTTTGCTTATTTCTTTATTTTAAAGATATGGGGTACAATTCAGGATTAGGTATACAAGTGGTCATCGTACAGGTAAAGTTTGGGCCTCCTTTTGGTCCCCACTTCACCTGGTTTGAGGTCAGGTACTCTTATTGATGTTATGTGTCCACCCCCCCCCACTTCCCCGGGCAGATTGCGGTTACTGCCAATCTCTTTCTTATAGTATGATGTGGTTTCTTCCTCCACTGAGGAATCCCTCAAAACCATCCTTGACTCTATACTACATAGTTATATAGTGATATTATCATTTTAGCATGTGAGATATCAAAATCTGTTTGACTCTAGATAGGGTTACCATATTCAGTTTTCTCATAATCAACTTCTTCCAAACTCCCATGAGGGTCGGGATCATGGGGGATTATTTTTTGTTTATTTATACGTTTTTGTCCTTAAAGAATATTTTATAATGAGCATGCATTACTTTATAATCATAGGAACTTGGGAAATTTTTCCCTTTCATAGATATAGAATGCCGTCACTGAGTTATACATATTGGTCCTTGATCTGAGCTCTGAGGGTAACTCTGAACACATTTAATTTTGTGTCCATACAATAGCCTTTCAAAAAATTTGAAGACAATTTGAATGTCCTTTTGCCTTTAAGCATGATTGTTTACAGATAGGCAAGCAGAAGTTGCTTTCTTTTTTCAAATTTAGACTGTAAAAGTTTTGAACCAGCCAAGATGTGATATCTACTACATTTTTCCTTTTCTCTTCCAAAATAAATCATCAAAAGAAAACAAATTTATCACCTCCAGACTTGGTGGTTTTAATGAATTCAACGTCTTATGAAACTGGATTCAGTAAGTCAGTTTGAGTATTTTGAAAGTATACCTGAGCTCTTTGGTAAACTTAGGCTCTTGATTTAAGGGGACAGTCAGGACAAGGAGAGGAGCTCTTGGGAAGGATGGGAGCCGGGGCAAATCGGGGTCTGTGGAGAGCTTCAAGGAACTGAAATGAGGGGTAATGACTTCATGCTATAGAGGAAAGAGTGTTCAGATCCCTCGACCCTCTTGTATGTTGCCAATAACCTAATATAGAGTTATCATATTAAAGAGATTTTTGACCTCTCTAATACTAAAATGACTATACAACCATGCAGTGTAGTGTCAGTACCACTGGAGTTTAGGGCATGAGCAACCAATACTCAACAGAAAGTTGAAAAAAGTTTGAAAAAACGTATTTCTATGCTTGCATTTCTCATCATGCCTCAGGTTATTCATCAAGATTAACTCATTGGCTAACCTTTAATTAAGAGTTTCTCTGAGCCAGGCTCAGTGGCTCAGCCTGTAATCCCGCACCCTTGGGAGACTGAGGTGAGTGGATTGCCTGAGCCCGCGGGTTCGAGACCCACTTGGGCAGCGAGACCTCATCTCTACAATTAATCAAAAAATTAGCCGGGTGTAGTAACATGTGCCTGTAGTTCCGCCTACTTGGAAGGCTGAGGCGGAAGGATCGTTGGAGCCCAGCAGGTTGAAGCTGCAGTGGTCGGGGCCACTGCACTCCAGTCTGGGTGACAGAGTGAGACTCCAACTCAAAAAAAAAAAAAAAAAAAAAGAGTTTCTCTGGAGAATGACTCTTTTGTAGATATTAAAAGTACTTTTTGAGGCCAGGCACAGTGTCTCATACCTGTAATCCCAGCACCTTGGGAGACTGAGGCAGGAGGATTGCTCTAGCCTAGGAACCTGGGCAACATAGCGAGATTTCATCTCAGAGAAAAGAAATTAACTGGGTATGGTGGCATGCCTGTAGTCCCAGCTACTTGGGAGGTTGAGGCAGAAGGATTGCCCTGAGTCCAGGAGTTCAAGGCTGCATTGAGCCATGATCATGCCACTATACTCAAGTCTGGGCAACAGAGTAAAATCCCGACTCAAAATAAAAGAAAAGTACTTTTTGTTTTAACTCTTATTCTAGCTAAGCTTTGAAACTCCTAAGTTAACAACAGTTTTGTAGCTAAGTAAATGCAATCCATAAATATTTATCATTAACCTGTTGAAGGAATGACATAAAAATAAAAAAATACCAAAATATTTTATTAGATAACAAATGTAGATTTTTTAAACAGAGACAAATCAGCTGTTAATTACATATTTTAAAATTTAATGTTCACAAATAATTCGGAAGTTGCTGTCATAAATAGTTATGTTGCCTAGGCTGAGCACTAGATATGAACACTTTGGTGCATCTAAAACAAAACTTGTCCTCGTTCTGTTTCTTTGTTTCCAGATGGTCTCCCAGCTTGAAGCCCAAATATCGGAGCTTGTTGAACAGTTGGAAAAGGAGTCTGGGTTTCACCAGAAAGCTCTCCAGAGAGCCCAGAAAGCAGAGAACAAGTTGGAGACCCTTCAGGGTCAGCTCACATACCTGGAGGGAGAGCTGGTTTCTGGAGATGTTTTGCTAGACAACTTGAATTTGGAGAAACAAAAAGTAATAACCTGAGGGTGTGTCTCTGGATAGAAGCATCAATTGCAGTTTAAAATGTTTACCCGAAAACATTCTGAATTTTACAGTAGTTAGATCATGAGTGAATTTCAAGGTCATGAATAAATTTCAAGGGAGAATAAGTCTCTTTCTATTGTTTGGAGTGCCCTTGATTCAAATTAATTCAATTAAACCCAAGTATTTATTGTATTATGCATTGTATTGTGCCTATTGTATATGAGACCCTGGAGGTTTGAGGGGCTAAACTATAAATAATTCATAGTTCCTGATCTTAAAAGACTCATAACTCAATGTGGGAGACAGATATTCAGATTTATAGTACTCCAAGGCTGTATGTGTTATATAATAGCCATATTGAATTAATAAAGTCCTGTAGGAGCTTTCGGATAAAAGGAAAATTTTCCAGAGGAGGAGATAATTAAGTTCATCTTTGAAGGATAAGTAAGATGATAGTGGAGAGAAGGGGCAGATTCTATAGGGTCAATGGTTTGAACAAAGGCATGAAATCTTGCAGGTGCATAGTATATGTATTCAGAGAATGCAAAGTGGTTAATCCTGTGTGACTAGAACATGGCATTTTTGGTAAGACTGTGGCAAGAGAGAATGGCCTGGATGAAACAGTGGAGTAGTCATCACTCTGTAGAATATGAAGTGTGGTAAATGATTGTAAGTGTTGCAATGTTTTAGAAGGATCATGTGATGTCACAGTGGAACGGAGATTGCAGTGGGGGTGGGGGGGGGTCTCAGAAACAATGGTGTTGGTAACCCAACAGGAGACGAGAGCTGAATGGAAAGAGAGGCTGCCCGCTGCGAACCTGAGTGTGGGGAGATGGTTGGGGACCTCTGAGAGGCAGTGGTGCTAGAGTGGTGGGGAATGAAAGCCAGTTTGCTGTGGGCTGAGGGGAGACTAGAAAGGGGAGGGGGAGAGACTTATGAGTGGGACACTGAGACATCTGGTGACCAAAGAGAAAAGAGACAAGAGGCAGTAGTTGTTCAACACAGGATTGAAGAAAGATTTTGTTGGAGGAATGGAGAGGTGTCTATGGACTGAAAGAGTCCATAGGAGGGAGGGCAGGGAGGAAAAGGGAGGTAAAGGGATCAAGAGCCATGGTGCAGAATTTGGCATGGAAAGGACTCTCAGGTTAAAGCATCTATATTCAAGAAACTCATTCACATTCATTCTTCAGTACCTAAAAAGTAACTAAGGAAGCACATGGCTACATTGAGGTTGGATATGGTGAAGATGCACAATCAATGTCTGTGGAAGTTCATAGTTTAGCAGGTGAGACAGGCAGATCAGGGTGCAACAGTACAATTAGTGCTGTCATGGAGAGAGGAACACAATTTGACAGGATCTCAGAAAAAGGGCCAATGCCTTCTTTCCCTATTCCTATGTGAGGAAATGAGTGGTCTTCATAGAAGAGGTGACATGTGAGCAGAGCCCTAAAGAACTACAAGGAATTTGTCAGGCAGAAGAGATGGGAAGAAATCTGAGACAGAAGGGAACAACAGGAACAAAAAAGGAATGGAGTTGTGAGAGGATGACTGAGGAAACGAATGAGGTGGTTCAGGGAGCCTGGAACAGGAGTTTTGGTGGGGTCAGAGGCATGAGATGGCACCAGGGGAAGGTAATAACTGAGGAACAATCGTGATAGTCAGGCTAATGACTCAGGCTTCACTGTATGGGTAAGGGGAAGGCAGAAAAGGTTTTGAGTGAAAGAAGGCTTTGGCTCACGGCAGACTGGTTCAGAGTATCTGGGGGGGGGTTCAATCTTTTGGCTTCCCTGGGCCACACTGAGTAATGAGGAATTGCTTTGGGCCACACATAAATTATACAAAAATGGTTAGTGTATATACAGAATAAGACTTCTTCTTCTTCCTTTTTTTTTGTGAGTCAGAGTCTCACTCTGTCACCCAGGCTGGTGTGCAGTTGTAAGCTCACGGTCACCACAGCCTCAACCTGCTGGGTTTAGGTAATCCTTCCACCTCAGCCTCCCAAGGAACTAGAACTGCAGGCATGCACCATCATGCCTGGCTAATTTTTTGATTTATTGAAGAGATGCGGTTTCGCCAATTTGCCCAGGTTGGTCTTGAACCCCTGGACATAGGCAATTTTCTTGCTTTGGCCTCCCAAAGTGCTGGGATTACAGATATGAGCCACTGCACCCAGCAAGACTTCTTTCTCAAAAATATTTTTTATTTAAAGTTTAAGCTGGACTCAGTGGCTCAGACTGTAATCCCGCACTTTGGGAGACTGAGGTGAGTGGATTGCCTGAGCCCGCAGTTTCGAGACCCACCTCGGAAACTTGGCGAGACCTTGTCTTTATAATAAATCAACAACAACAAAAAATTAGCCAGGTATAGTAGCATGTGCCTGTAATTCCAGCTACTTGGAAGGCTGAGGTGGAAGGATTGCCGGAGCCCAGCACTTCAGTCTGGGCGATGGAGTGAGACTCCAACTTAAAAAAAAAAAAAAAGTTTAGAAAATGAGAACTATATAAAACTAGTGGGAAATTTGATTTTTGTTTTTGTAAAATTAATCTATCAATGTCTGGTTGGATGAAAGTGGTCATAATTCTTAATGAGTTCTCAAGGTGCTCATCAGCAATGTTTGCTTGAATTTTGCTTTTTGTGTGCTTCATAACTGAAAACAGCTGCTCACAAATGTATGCGCTGCCTAAAAGCCATGTCATGGATAAGGTGTGATTGTGAACTTCAAAAATAGAACTATCACGGGGTCACAAAGAAAATAAATGCTAAAAAACATGATATTAAAAGATTTTGTTGGGCCACATTACTAGCTGTCCTGGGCTGCACATGGCCCATGGGCTGTGGGTTGGACATGCTTGGTCTAGAGAGAGAGGTAGGGAATTTAGTCAGGGGATTCTTAGAATAGTCCACTTTGGAAGACAATAAAGGATCTGAACCAAGTCATGCTTCTGTGAATGAAGATAGGGGACAGATTTGAGAACTATGGGAGGGTGAAGGGAGTTTATGCTATTAGGTATCTGAAGAGGTGTGTTGGTTGAAAATTAGATTTTTTTTTTGAGTTGGAGTCTCACTCTGTCACACAGGCTGGAGGGCAGTGGCACACTTACGGTCGATCTGCTGGGCTCAGGTGATCCTTCCGCCTCAGCCTTCCAAGTAGCCATAAATACAAGTGTGTGCTATCATGCCCGGTTAATTTTTTAAGTTTACTGTAGAGATGAGGTCTCACCAAGCCTGGACTGGTCTCAAACTTGCGGGCTCAGCCAATTCACTTGTGCTGGGATTACAGGCTGAGCCACCGAGCCCCGCCGAAAGTTTGATTTTGAAAAGAAGTATTGTACCTGAGTATAGCAATGTAAATTGGCAGCAATCTAACAGCCTGCTGGTCAGCTCCACCTAGATGGTCTTTGAACACCTAAATATATACAAAATGGAAATAACCTCTTCACAGAGTCTCCCCTCTCCTGCTTTCATAATGGCAGTCACATGGATGGAGCTGGAGATCATTATCCTAAGTGAACTGACTGAGACACAGAAAACCAAACACCAAATGTTCTCACTCATCTGCAGGAGCTACATGGTCACAAAGATGGAAATAATAGACACTGGGGACACCAAAAATGTGGCAGGTGGGAAAGGAGACCAGGGTTTAGAAATTACCTATGGGGCACAGTGTTCACCATCTGGGATTGGGCCACCTGAGATCCAATCCCCACCACTACACAATACATCCATGAATCAAACATGCATGTGTACCCCCTGAATCTAAAATAAAAACGGAAGAAGAAAAAATAGCGGTCTTTTGCCCCCACTTGCCCAAGCCATCTTCAACACTTTCCTCTTCTCAGTCAGTTCCTAAGCACTGTAAGTCCTGTCTCCTTACCAGATCTCCAATCCTTCTCTCCATCTCTTTCTCCAGCTGCAGCACTTTGGCTTCTCTTATGCTCAATTACATAGTCTAGGCAAACAGCCTTCTAACTGAGCACCTTGCCCTGGCTGCCACACCTCAGATTTACTCTCACCACTGCTGCCAGAGAGGTCTTAATACAAAGCATGCTTCATCTTCTCTTACTCCATCTTGAACTTCATCTTTTCTTACTCCATTTTGAAACTGGCCCGTGACTCTCAGGATCAGGTGCAGACTTCTTTTTCCAAGCCTTGCATTCCCATGAACTGGTCAGTTGTCCTCTCTGTCTTCCCCCTCCCCTGCAGTCTCTCCTGCCAACAGGGCAAACTCAGAAGCCTTCTGGGACCAGCAGGACCCTGGTGGGGGCTGTGGTGAGTGATTGCTGAGCCTGAAGACTTCCATATTCAAATTTGTAAAAACACTCACCTGGTCTTCCATGTTGCCTACAGCTGTTCTCACCGAGAGAATGTCCTCCTCACCATCTTCACCTGGTAACAACGATCTCTTCAAATATCACTTCCTCTGGCAGTGTGTCCTAAGAGACTCGGTCTCCTTCCTCATGCTCCCCAGATAGCATGTTCCTGCCCCTCTCACTGCACTTTTTACCCTTACAGGATTGTTTTAAAATTTTTTTCTTCTGCAAATATTCCAAGCTTCCAGAGGCCAGGGAAACCTTTTCTTTTGTATTTCTCCAGGGCTTAGAGAGTCAATACACATCATTTAAATTGTAGAAGAAATATATCAAAGGCAAGAATTTCAGGTAGAGTGGTATCTTTTCCCTTCCCTTGATATAAATGAATCGTTAATTTTAATTGAAATTATGTCCAAATAACTCTCAGTTATAAAAGCAAATTATGTCAGTTAATGCTGTGTTTGGTGAATTTTCCATGGATAACTGTGTATGACATTCACATCCTAATGGAAATCATATCATGTAAACTTGAAATGCAAAGTTGCACAGAGTTTAAATGCTAAATGCAGGTCATTGAGGTTGACATGAAAGAGAGTGGAATGCTCAGTTTCTTATTTATGCTAAACTGGGATTTAAATGAACAAAATATATAGTAATCCTTCACTTCTATGAAGTTAAATATTGCTGATAACCTCCATCTTCTGAGATATAGCCAAGATCCTTGAAACGGGCACTTCCTCTGTGGGTTCTTGGCTTGATCTTGTCTCAGTTCCCACAATTCCCTGGTGTAGTCCTGGCATGTTAAGTGGATGGGTCATATATAGAAATAGAAAAAAAAGAGACTTTCATAACTTCACATCCAAGGTGCTGACTCCATTTTACATAAAATAGAAGCAATAGCTGTTTGGTCACTTTCATACACGCAGATTAGAAATTAAACATTCCAAAGGGAGAGCTGATACAGCATTAAGATAAATCTGATGATACAGAAACAAAAGTAACCCATGGTGGTGTAGCACAATACACTAAGTGATCTTTGCAATGGCAGTGACATAAAAAAGAGATAAAACTGTATTTATATGTATGCTATTTAACAAAATTGGAAAGTATATACATACTAATAATTTCATCCTGATTATTAAAATATGGATCATCTGGGCTTTAAGCTGGTATGCTTTGGCTGGCAGGAAATTATACTTATTTAAACATTTAATTGCCTGAAAATGCCAGATGGATGAGAAGCTATTGCAATCAGAATAAACTGTCAAAGATAGAACCCAAACCATGAAATTACAATATAGGAAGCACATCGATTGATTTACTCATCCAGCAAGCACTTAGTAAGCATTATGCCATGTGTGGACGTGCCAGATAAGCCACAGAACCCAAGTGGAGGAAGACCTTTAAATAGTTTTGTAACTTTCGCCTGTTAAAATGTGAACCTTGACTTGCTTCATACAGCTCTTCTTTAGGGTGTTTTTTGTTTAACTTTGAGGCACTAAACACTTTTAAAGACATTTTCTGAAGCATTTTAACTAAACAACAACAACAACAACAACAACGAAACCCCACCAAAATATTGTTCCAATTTTGTTTGTATGGAGAGCTTTGAGATTGGAGTGACCTGTAGAGTCCAAGAAGAATAGAGTGGCAACTGGTTAAGTTGTCAGTTTCCACCTTTGAGGCCAGAGTCTAGTTAGGTGGGAAAAATTCCCAAGGAAGGTCCATGGATGGGTGGATTCCAGGGACTGGATTAGCCTGGGAGGGGCATGGTTGCAGCAACCAAAGCAGAAAGGTGAGGTTGTACTCAGGAGCATCATCAAATTTGCCATATGGCAGGGCTAAGAGTCAAGAGTCTTTGGACAAGGTACATGGCAGGGAAGTGGCAGCGTGATTCAGGAATTTATCAACAAATATGGGGGCCAGAGTCCGGGCTCTATGCTGGGTTTAAAGAAAATTACCTGTGAGCTTGGGAGAAAGAGGTAGGTTCTGTGAGATCACTCATTCACTTTTACTTTTGTGTCCCATTTTATTTTTGTTCTTGGGTTTAGTATCTTAAGTTTCTGGATCAACTTTCAGAGAAAATGAAATTGGACCAGATGGCTGCCGAACTTGGCTTTGACATGCGCCTGGATGTAGTTTTGGCTCGTGCGGAGCAGCTGGTCCGTCTAGAGAGCAATGCAGTCATTGAAAACAAGACCATCGCACACAATTTGCAGAGAAAGGTAGGGGATACTGAAACTTGCTATTGTTGGGAGAAAGAATTTCTGAAAAACTCAAGTATTGACAAATAATTTACCCCCACCATACTTACCAATGTGACTAGGAAACACAAAAGTATGTATTTAGAATTGGAGGCTTGATTTCAAGTCTGAAGAGTTGGTTAGTGTACCTTTTACCCAAGATAGGCTTCACTGTGAGTAATAAGGCCCCCTCCCCCTTCAAAAAAAACCCCCAGAAGTGTTTTTCTTTCTTCTCTCACACAAATTCCTGGAGATAGGCAACTTAGAGCTGGTGTGGCAATTTTTCTCTGTAATATCTTCAAGGAATGAGGCTCATTTCAGCTGATTCATTTTCCATCCCTCAGGTGGACTTTATACTCCTAGGTTCAAATGGAGCCTAGAACCATGATATCTATGCTCCAGGCAGGATATCTATGTCTAAGAGAAGACAGGGGTGAGGAAGAGGGGCAACAAAAGAACGTGTAGGAGGTATCTTTTGGAAAAGGTGCCCAGAATTTGTTACGTGACCTTGTGTTTATACCATATGGCCAGAATATATCGTAATGGTCAAACTTAGCTGCAAGGGAGGCTTGCAAACGTAGCCTTAACTCTGAGTAGTTATTTGCCTAGCTAGAAAAAACTCAGTTTCTATTACTTTTGGAGAAGAGGAGAACCAGCAGTCTCTGCATTTATAAGCCCTATTGCACTAGAAAGTAGAGTAAGAAGGGCTTACTTTTGACTCACTCAAAGGAAGAGTTAGAAACAGTTTAGACTAAATCAATGAATGAATGGGTGAATATAATTATTAGTTATATAATTGTCAGTATTGGGGAAAGAAATAGGAAAACACAGATGTGTTCTTTTAATAGTTCTTGGGAAAAACTTCTATGGTAGAATTCGAGTGCAGAGGCTGTGTAATGAGTCACATCTGGGTTCCCAATTGGGCTCATCAAGATGTGTGACCTTGAACAAATTATATACCTCTCTGTCTCTGTTTTCTGATAGCTAAGATGAGGATGATAGCTACCCCAGGGGGTTGTTAGTTTTTAATAACTAACATTTTTGAACTCTTGGCTCAAAGAAAGTGCTCTATTCACATTTGTCCTTTTCTTCATTTGTCATATCTTGAGAAATATCTTATAAAAGCAGACAAACCCTATTACCATCAGAGACATTAAATTGAGCTACCATTCTTTCCAAAGTTCTCCTCAGATAATTGATTATTTTTCTCAATATCCAACACCATTCCTTCTTAAGAATGACATAATTATTAAAATTACTAATGTGCAGAATTTGCCAGCGTACTTTTGCCACTGAGTGGGATTTGACATGAAGAAGCTCAAGAAAGAGAGTTTGGTAAGAGAAATATTAAAAGAGCCTTGTTCACAAGTGGTCTGGGCATGAACACTGCTGCCATTGTTAGGCAAGCTACTTCAAGCAGCATTTCAGGAAGTCCTTCCCACTTTTTAAACACTTTACAAATGCAGAGCAGATAATTAGGAAAAATGGGATGGTCTTCAACTCGAACATTTGATCATTCTACATTATTTTGATTCCTAATGTTTATAACATGTAGCTTCTGTACTTAATATTCCACTCACTAATTGTGACATGTGGAGCACAGGAAGATTTTTTTTTTCTCTTAGAGTCTATAGTTGTTTCATAAAAATTATTATTATTATTATTATTTGAGTTGAGGTCTTACTCTGTCACCAAGAGCTAGAGTGCAGTGGCACAATCACAGCTCACTGTAGCCTCAAACTCCTGGGTCAAGTAATCCTCCTTCCTCAGCCTCCTGAGTAGCTGGGACAATAGGCATATGTCATCACACCCAGCTAATTTTTGAATTTTTGTAGAGACAAGGTTTTGCTTTGTTGTCCAGGCTGGTCTTTAATGCCTGGGTTCAAGAGCTCCTTCTGCCTCAGCCCTCCTTCTGCTAGGAGTACAGGCGTGAGCCACGATGCCCGGTCATAAAAATCATTTTAATTTTCTTCATCAAGTTTGATTGCCAATGATAAGTGATATTTGAGGACCTGTTCTCTGCTTGGTTTGTGGATCTTATAGAACAGGCATATAACAAAGACACCAATGAATCTTCTTGAAGCATCTTTTATTTCGGATACTTTAAATGGATAAACAAAACTTCTTCTTGAACATCTCTTTGGTATATCTTACTTAAAAAAAAAATCAATTCTCATGTTGGAGGCCACTCGGTCCGGTCCTGAGGGATTGAAATTAGCCAGGCTGGGCTTGTGGTATTCATTTGTATCCTATCTTGTTGCAGAAAACACCAGTGCAGGTATTGTGGCCATGAGATGTTGGAGAGGATTTGTCTCTCTCTCTCTCTCTCTTATTATATTCTGCCCTTGATAAGCCCATTTTAGTAGTTTTAAAAGTAATTTCACATTTTTATTATGATGCCCATAATGTTGGAGAGAGTCAGATGTTGAAAGCCGGCTCCGCCGCCCATTTTCTATGGCTCTTTTGTCTCATACTTTGCAGCCACAAAATTCTTGGAAAAGATATGAATCAAAAATACGATCAGGAAAAGGAATCCAGTGACATTTTTGATGGTTTACAAATTAGTCTTATTGAAGTGTAGATAAAGATCAACATTATCTGGGTAATTCATTTATATTTACTACTGTTCAATTATTAAAAAAAAAATCCTTGTTTGTATCAAACCAGCTAAAGACTCAAAAAGAAAGACTGGAGAGTAAAGAACTGCACATGAACCTTCTCCGGCAGAAAATAGCCCAGCTGGAAGAAGAGAAGCAGGTGCGCACGGCCTTGGTGGTAGAGAGGGATGAGGCCCATCTGACCATCAGGAAGATGCAGAAGCAGGTGGAGAGGCTGCAGAAGCAGCTGAGCGCGAGTCGAGAATCGAACACTGAACTCAAAGCCAGACTGGCTGACACCAATGAACTGAAGGCAAGTGCTGGACTTCACTTCTTTGCTGCTAGTTGCCAGTTACTGTCAACTTTTATGCAAAAGAATGGCATCCTTTTAGGAACACACCAGAAAAGGAAAGATGAAAACTTCCTCTGGTTTTCTAGAGTTGTGGGAAAATGCAGAAATAACATAAATCTTAATACACACACACATATACAACAAACAGACAAAACACACACAAAACAGAATACATGTTTACCTAGTGTCTCTTCAGTATTTGAAGTGAAGCTGTCATTGCTGGGTGAGAAGTTAGTCAAAAGTAATGATGTTGATGTCCAGAAAATAAAGACATTTCTCCAAAGTGTGGGTGACTGTGCTATCAGGGATGAGTTGTAGGGACTTATCACATAGGAACTTGCTTAGGAGGAAATGAGAAAATGGGTACTGTTTACTGAGGAGAGTCAGGTGGGCAAGGGTATCTATGTTGTACTCCTTAGAAGACATTATCATGTCCAGTGGAGAGGGTCAAATAGTTCCTATGTTCCAGGTGTTCAACTTCTAATGAAGACAGAGAAAAAAGAAACGAAACTTACAAGAATTTTACCAAAATATTTAAATGTCATGCCCATCTATCACTGGCAACAATATGTAATTTAATATGCACACAATATCCCCAGCAATGTGCATATGGCAAATATAGCAGACAATGACATCCTGGTTCTTTGCAGACGAATGCTCTGAAACTGACTTTTGGAATGTGTCTGAATCTAGAAACAGACCAGTAGGGAAAAATAATCTGGAATTAGGCTGGTTCTTCAACATGTGCAGTGGGGACAATAGTTTGGAAAATATTTCCCACTGTATTTTTCCCTTCTGTGTGATTAACTTCCCCCCACCAAGTCCTTGTGCCATCAGGACTAGACCAAGTTGAAGTGTATTTCCCTAGAGAAAGGATGGCCCAGAAGAAAGGACATGTTTGAATACAAGGAAAGGGGGAAGAAGGGAGAGAATCTGATGGGATGCCATGGATGGGGAGGAATGTCAGAGGTAAATATCCTCAACAGCCCCTTTATATTTTGAGATTGAATTTTTGGGTAGTATGTGGTAGGGTGGGGGTCGAAGCTCCAATGTCAGCACCAGCTGCTCCCACCTTGCCTGGAAGGGATGTAGGAGTTGCTGAGGCAGGGGGCCTAGATTGCACTTCAATCCCTGGAGCTTGAAGTTCCATATGTGCTCGAAGGAGGTATGGATGAGAGGTCAAGATTCATGCTGGAGAGATAATTGTGGGAGCAGATGGGGGCATTCCCTTTACGTGAGGCACCAAATGACCCTCCATCAGAGGCTCAGGGGCCATCTCCCAAGTTATGGTTTGATGGCAGTCACAGCCAAGCCTTTGATTAGCCAAGACCGATGATGTGGCCTTGACTCTGGTGAGTAAACTCTCACAAATTTCAGCAGTCAGATAGTAGATACAGGAGAGATTCAGGGCAGCATGAGGACCACAGTCTTGTCTCCTAACACCATAGAGATTTTACTTCACCCAGACACCATCTCAGGATGAAGGAGGGGAGAGAAGAATTCCTCCAAGACTGGGCATTGCACGTACAAAAACAAATTTTAAACCCAAGGAAATACAGGTAGTTATAAATACCATCTGCTCTAACAGTTTGGGATGATGGTGGTGGGAAGTCAGTGTCTCATTTTCAAAGGACTATGCGGTTGATCCTGAAGTTAAAGTGTCTGGGGCCTTGCGTCAGTGGCTCCTGGCTGTGGGGTGTGCAACTGTTCATCCCTAGGTTCAAGGCACTCTCCCACCTCTGACATCTTGGCTTATGGGACTATAGAAGCACTACTTTGTTAGAGAGAATAAAAGGCCCCTAAATGCTTCAAATAAACCACAGAGGACAAGCTAAAAATTGGAAACCTGTGGTACGACAGCCAATAGTGGGGAACACGTTATGAAACAAAAAAGGAAAAGAACTTCATCATTATAGCCAAAGCAAAATGCAGACCTTTTGACAATGAAGCAAAATGTTGGGCTCCAGAGAACGATAAGGAGAATTTGCAGACCTGATCTGATCCTTTTGAGGTGTCCCTCTTACCCATAGGGAGGTGTTGCATGTAGACAGGATATGGCTGATCTGGAGCCAGACAGTGTTTCTTGTACACAGGTTGAAAAATGAAAGTCTCCTGTCTTTGCCAAGACTTTACAAATCTAGATCACTTCTAGGTATTGATGCAACATTGCTTTAGATCAAGTAACAATAGGTTGGAGTAGAAGATGATAATTAGTGACAATTAAATATAATAAGACAGGTGAGTAGAAGGTCTAATTGGTGGCTGATGACACCTTGGTCATGTCTAGGAGTTACAGAATGCTGGAGAAAGCTGAGCTGTGGACAGGGGCTAGATCACATGAAGTCTGTGTGTCATGCTAAGATGTTTGGACTCAGTCTCTGGGTCCTGAGTTGCCACTGGAGGATTTTAAGCAGGAGAATAAAATGGTCAGGAAAAAGACAGAAGAAATAGAGTAAGGGAGAGGGCAGAGGTCTTCAGAATGAGGTTGTGGTCAACAGTATCAAGCAGTGAGATAAAATCTAAAGGAATACCCACTACACTTGACTTTGGAAAATCTATGACTCATGTATGAATGGTAGTAGATCATGGTGGTAGTGGATGAGGGCTTTGAGAATAAGCCAAATTTGAGGGATAAAGAAGAAATAGAAACAAAGACAGTGATGCACTACCCTTGTGGAATACTTGGATGAAAAGGGGAAGAGAGTAGGAAAAGTGAGTAAATTTGGCTTGTGTGTTTACTTTGTTGTTTTATTTCCCATAAAGAAATTGACACACTCTTACAGATGAGCTATAGGAAAGGTATAGGAGAGACTGGGTTTGACTGACTCGTTGATTACTCAGGCCTCTAACCATTTCAATGAAATATTAAGTCTGACTTCCAGTGGAAGTAGTGAAAGTGGGCATCCTTGTGTTGACCCAGATCTTAGTGGAAAGACTTTCGGTTATTCCCCATTCAGTATAATGTTAGCTGTGGATTTGTCATATGTGGCCTTTATTATATTTAGGTATGTTCCTTCTATACCCAATTTGTGGAGGGTTTTTTGTCACAAGGGTGTAGAATTCTACTGAATACTTTTTCAGTATCTATTGAAATTATTGTATGTTTTTGTTCTTGGTCTTATTAGTGTGATGCATAATGTTTATTGACTTGTATATGTTGAACCATCCTGTGTTATGGGGGTGAGTCCCATTTCATCATGGTGAATGATTTTTTTAATGTGTTGTTGAATTCAGGTTGCTAGTATTTTGTTGAGAATTTTTGCATCTATGTTTATCAGTGATATGGCCTGTAGTTTTCTTTTTTGGTGTGTACTCGCCTGGTTTTAAATCAGGATAATTCTGGCTTCATAGAATGAGTTTGAAAGTAGTCTCTACTTTTTTCTTTATGAGTTTTAAGTGTATATTTATTTCAATCACATTTGCCAACTGTAAGTAAAAATACATTAAATTCTAAAAAAAACATAAACATGTTATTTGTAATCATTATTAACCAAATTATGGAATATAAAATATGTGTAACCACCAAGCTCCACTAGATTGTGTCAAGAGGTTATCTTCCCTAAATGCAGCAGTAGGAGCAAACCAAGTGACAACAATAAATGATACTAAAGAAATAACAACCAAGAGAAACCTTTTCATTTTACCAAGTATAATTTCTTGGGCTATATTTTTGTAACCAGAATTGATGTGAAGTATTAAAAACTACAATATGTTGTTTTTGAGAAGTATTGGATACAAAGCAATGGAATCTTTAAAACTTTAGTACACACCTTAAGAAGCTCAAAACTAAAATAACTCTTTGAAACAAAGAGTACAGAATTTAAAATCACCAGAAGCACTTATTTAGTGTCCTTAATATACATATTACATATAAGCACTATAATGTGCTTTGTAGATTTCTTATAAAGTACTACCTCAAGTTGCAAAGACTAAAAAAAAATCACATAAATTGCCAAGACATTAGTGAAAGACGCCATCAAACATGTTTGCTTGAAAATGTTCAAGTACCACTTTCACCATACCTTAACATACTCAATAACCATCGAATAACATGAAATAATGGCTCACTAAACAAAGCTAATAGAGTATTTTTCCTTGTTTGATCAAGTTATGGAAGACAAGACCTGGTTTGAGAATAATTTTCATAAGACAAAGCAGGAAACATTTGTTTCTGTAACATGAAATAAGTACATGACATCGGTTCTTCAGTACCTTGCTAAAATTGGAAACTAAAATGACCATAAGAGGAAGAGGCACTAAACTCCCAGGACAATTAAATAGATAATGAAAACATTAAGATTTTGGAAACCGAAAAAATAAATGCATGAGAGGTAACTGTCTCAGCAGACAGGAGAAATTTAAATCTCAATGCTGTATGCAGCTGATGCTTAAAACAACAACAACAACAACAACAACAGAATGGGTTGAAAGAAGCACTTAAACACCAATGCCCAAGCCACTCCCCAACACTGAAGGAAACTGAAGGGATAACTCCCTGGAAACAGTGAATTAGAGGGTCTCTGGAATTAGAGAACCAAGATATAGACAGGAAGCAGTATCTTACTAAAAACTGGAGAGGTCTGCATTATGAATAGTAAGATCTCCAATTCCCTTTTCCTTTCTCACCCAGAAAGAAAACTTGTAACATGTATACTCACATAAGACAAGAGATTGAAAGGTTTCTCTCTCAAAAAAGACCTACATATTCTGACAATTGGGTGACCCTCAAATAAGTGGCCTAGCCAAATAATGCTGCAGTCAAATCCATCTACTGACAAACCAGAAATATAGAGAGCTTAGAGAGATTCCTTCTAGATTTCTAGTTTCTTGCTCTAAAATTTGAGGAACAGTAAATAACCCCAAGGCATTTGAAGAAGCATCGAAATAAAAGACAGACTAAACTAAACAAAGGGAAGACTCACTTAACTGAAACAGACTAGTGGGTGGGAAGGGAATTTCTT